CTCGTTTTATTCGAAGGTCGTAAGATGCTTCAATTACGAAAATAATGGAGTTTTGAGTTCATGCATATAAATGGCAAATTTAATTAAGAGGTTGATCGAAAATCATGTTTGGAGATATTACATTTTGATAGTGTACGGGGATAAAGTTGGATACAGGCTAATGCCTTCACGGTAACTAAACTAATCAAACGAGAGTAAACGATAAACAAAAAAGGTCTACACCGTTTGAAAATAGCCGACTACGGGTCCGGCTAAAAAGCCATTCGGCCATGTAAAAAAAAAAGAAACTTAGAAGCATCTGTGCATGGTTTGTGAAGTAGAATACCAAACAAATGGAAAATAGAAAAAGGTGGGGTGGTTGGGAGAGTTATGGAAAAATATATAAATTCATTTGTAAGATGCAGGAGTTGATGAATATATATGTATATATATATTACACATTGGTATAAATAATTAAAAGAAATCATGGGCAAAATATTTATATAGTATGTGCGTTGGAAATGGTTTCATATCAAAATTTACATATCAAAATTTAAATCGAAAATGAAGGTACATCTCGGTACTTAGAAAGGATTATTACCTGTGTAGGGTTGAGAGTTACCAAGTGTCGGGCACACCTACACTAAACCAAGGTGAGTCTTCATGAGACTTTAACTGGGATGCATGCTTATGTACAAATTATTTGAGCATTACGATATTTTTTATATGCATGTTTATGAGTTTATTACATGTATATGAATTATTATTGTGGGTTGCATGCTATTTGTTTACATGTTTTTTAAACATTAATTAGCATGTTATAAAAGAATTTATATTTTTGTCGGGTATGGGAAGGGGTCAAAAGTCATAAGGGATGACACATCCCAGGGATGGGTGACCGGACAAGGGATAGCCGTGTAACCCGGGGAAGTGCCGATGACAGTAAGACCTTAACCCGACGGGAAATTAAGAGATCTCATTATTATTTCAAAAGGGTTTGAAACAAATGTGCATGTTAATTTATTTCGGGTATTGCTTATTTTATGCATGATATGAAATGTATGATTGTGCATGAAAACCATGAACTCACTGAGCTTTATAAAGCTGACTATTAGTGTGCATCTCAGGAGCTGGGTATTCAAGAACGGAAAAGGGCAAAGGTTCTGCGTAGGAAATAGAACTTTTATTCGAGTTATAAATTATAAAATCCAGTAGTTTAATTGAATTTATGTGTAATGTAACCCGATATGGGATGAGTTAGTTTTGAGATATATATTTACGATTAAATTATTGTAAGACTTCCGCTGCGATAAGACTTTATTAGCCGCTAGAATTTGGAGTTTATTTTATTTTATTACGTAGCACCTTGTAATTGAAATGAGGGTGTTACAATAATAGATCCAGATCCTTTCTTACGCTTCTCACTTTAACTCTCCTTCTCACACGATCCTCACGTCTCGCAAGCAAGTGCCCAATATGAAAAACATCAATTTTGATTTCCAATTCATTTTGGAGAGATTACTCTTACTCTTAAATTAAACGGGTTATTATGGAAATTGATCAAATCTTTTTGCAATGTTACTTTTCCCAAGTTATATTTCACTTGTTTTTGTTGGTCTTTGAGTTTTTAAAGTGTGGATTGAATTTTATATTAAATTGATTTAGTTGATATTTGTCTGAATTATTCTGATTAATTGTTCATGGTATAATTATTAGCAACATACTTTTACGATTATTTGCAGTCTCTATCATGTCTAAGCACCTTGCGATGTCCGATAAACCAAGGTACTTTTTAATATTTTATCCATTACGTAACTAAGAAAGCACTAAATAGGTAAGAAAAATCAAATACCATGTTAGAAAACTGCACATTGACCCATATGTGGCACAAGCTTTAACGTTGTGTCAGACATGGACCTTGAGCCACGATGGCTGCTATGGCAAGCCTTCTAGAGCATTGGTGTCTATTTAGTATCGTTCTTAGATGTGATTATTAAAGTGTTTTTATTGATGAACATGTTTTGTGAAATATCAATTAATCTATGCAGTAAATCATCTTTTCCATATGAAACCTCATTTTTCTAGGTTAATGTTTCATATTACTTTTCTAAATTAGAAAAAATAAATTTGACTTTCACAAGTAGTTCCTATATGGAATATGAGAGTCTAATTTATTTGCATCATTTTATGTTTGGTCTATCTTTTTGAAACATTCTGGTACTCAATATTTTTTTTATCACAACTTATATAGTTTTTGAGTATTCTTACCATATTTTTATTCAAACATACATTTTGCATTTTATTTTTCAATTAAAGTTGCAAAAACTATTAACCACTAAATAATGCACAAGTCGATCTTTAAAGGACAAGAAAAGAAATGATGTGGGTTAAAAAACACTGTTATCGAACTATTAAATTTCAAAATCTTTGACCAATGAAACATAGTAACTTCCAATTATATATTTTCTGATTTACAATTTAAAATCACAATGAACTATAAAATTAGTATCGAGAGAGACGAAGGACCAAATTTGATGGAAGTGTCATTTGTAGACCTTTATCTAATTTACATATTTAGTTATTATGTTTCTGGACCATGTTTAATTTTTATTTTTATTTTACATTTTGACTTGTCTAATGATATTTTCTAAAGGGGTGTTTGGGATTGCTTATAAAAACAACTCATTGACTTATTCTGGTGTGATACATATAATAAGCATTTTTGAATGTTTGGATAAACAATTTATACTGGTGCCAAATCGATAATAAGAAATTTTTGAAGAAGTTTAAACCCTTCTGACTTATAAGAAATTGATAAATACTTTTATAAAAAAAAATTTGTTTCAAACGAAGCAATCGAGAAAAATGATCACATAGCCGAAGTGTAAAAATGAATATTTTTATGAATTTGCCTAACGTCCATGACACATAAAAAAGTGTAGAAATGTACGGATTATCTATATCCATATGATTTCTCCCCCACAAACTTGACAATGGCGGTTCTCAACTTCCCCTTGTGTTGCTCCAAACTCCAATGTGTTCCCCTTTCCAAACCCTCTCTTCAAATCCCTTCTTCTTCACAGGTGCCTTATCTTTCTCTCATTTTACGATCAATTTCACTGTTTAATATCATTAACATCCATGAAATCTTAAATTACATGAACAGGGAAGGACCCAAGTCAAAATAACTAATGATTCTTCTTTCAATTTTGGGGAATCGTTGTCCAAAGTATGTATAACAGCTCTGTTCTCTGCTTCCCTCTTCTTCGCCACCGATCCTGCTCTTGCATTCAAGGTTATTTCACCTCTTCTGTTAATCGGAACGTAGTTTTTTGAAATCGTAACTGGATTTTGAAGTTTTCAAGTATTTGATTGATAACGTTTGTGAAATTATTTAGGGTGGAGGACCGTATGGTTCTGAAGTGACTCGAGGACAGGATCTTACCGGAAAGGATTTCAGCGGCAAGACTTTGATCAAGCAAGATTTCAAAACGGTATCATGATACGAATTTCAAGTTTCAACGATTGAAATCGAACCAAATTCATTACAAATTTTGAAATTGATAAGCTTCGGTTACGATTCCAATGCCATCTGATTGGAGTCCCCAAACACAAATTGTCAATTTCATGATCTATTTTTGCTCTAATTGTTCCCTCTTTTCCCCCCCTTTTGATGTAGTCCATTCTGAGACAAACTAATTTCAAGGCTGCAAAGTTACTTGGAGCTAGCTTCTTTGATGCAGATTTAACAGGTTTCTATATGCCATTTATGTTCGATTTTTGTATCTCATTTCAGGATTTCCTCAAGATCTATGGATTTGGCATGCCAATTTCACATTCTGGAATCTATTGTATATCATTCACACATAAAAGTTGATGATTTCAGGTGCTGATCTTTCCGATGCAGATCTTAGAGGCGCAGATTTCTCGTTAGCAAATGTAACAAAGGTCTGAATCCTAGATACGATCCATCGTTCGAAAAAAAGCTTATAACAAGGAATTCATTAAGACGCACGATTCTTGACTTATCAACAGGTGAATTTGACAAATGCTAACTTGGAAGGAGCACTTGTTACAGGGAACACATCTTTCAAAGGATCTATCATAACAGGCGCAGGTACTGTTATAAATTTGGAGTATGATTTCTGTATATTAAAACTCAATTGCAGTAACCACAAGGGTGGTGCCTGATTGGTTTGAGCTTGGCTTCAAATGTCAAAAGTACCAGGAGGTCTCAGGTTCAAATCTAAGGAGGAATAAAAATCCCCTTGTGGTCACGGAGGTTCAAATGCGGTGACTCCGGACTATCTGCAAAGCAGGTGGTCGTCCTGAGATTAGTCGGTCGCATAACGGGTTGGATATCCAAGTTAATAAAAAAAACTCAATTGCAGTAGTAAATAACCACTAACAGAAAATAACTAACCCCCAACAGATTAACTAACATACATAACTAGACAAAACTACCCTCCCATCTATCGACTTTGGATGACTAACCAGTTCACACGCAGTAGATGCCGTTTGTGTGGATGAACGAGACACCAGTGACTGTTTCTTAGATTTCAAAGAGATCAAGGAGTCCCCCAAGAGAACAGAAGATCTAGTAACAGATATTCGACTGTCCGTACATTTACCCTGACTTGAATCACGATAAACTTGTAATACACATTCAAACCAATATGTGAGCCGACAAATCCCAGGCGACCTGCTTTGTGGGTAGCCAGAGTCACGGCATTTGAACGTACGTGGCCACAAGGGGATTTTTATTCCTCCTTGGATTTAAACATGAGACTGACCTTTGGAGCCCAAGCTTAAACTAATCAGACACCACTCTTGTGGTTCGTTTTTCATTTTTTTTAAGACAACTTGGTTGTAATGGGCATGCAGATTTCACCGATGTCCCTCTAAGAGAAGATCAAAAGGAATATCTTTGTAAAGTTGCCGATGGGTAACATTCTACTAAGCTTTACAACATATTATGTTCATTTCTACACAACACACACACATATATAAAGATAGCTCACTGCTTCTTGTGCATCGTAATTAGGGTGAACCCAGTGACGGGTAATGAAACACGAGAGACGTTGCTTTGCAAGTAGCCCGAGTTTATCGATCTGTTCGTGCAGCATGGCTTGTTAGGAGACGATGATGTGAATGTAAGTTGTGTACAAACTGTAACATGTATCAACTGAAAAATTTGGTACCAAGTATAATTCGTTGGTACATGTTATAGGATTTTGTGATCTTCATTCTACTATAAGAAAAAAAACCATGAATTTTTTAGTTTTCGCTATCGGTTACAATTTCGTGAGCAGTGATTGAACTGAACGTAAAATGTATTGTTGAACCAACTTCCGGATCTTCTACCGAATCTGATGTCACACCTTGGGGCTGTGCAACATCCTCAAATCTGGTTAAAACGACGAATTTAAAATTTTCCATAATACAACAAATAAGGGGGTAAATTCCTAACTATTAATCAATACTTGAATTACTTCGAATAACAAATCTAAGATCAACATTAATAAAGATAAACCAAGTCATATTTAAAAACTAAGTTAAGGACGAGTGTTACTATAATCGAATAAAGTCGTTATTTTCAAATGTGGAAGATGTCAACAAATCGTTAGATCCTTCCATGCCTCTAACTAGCATTCAGTTCACATAGTATCGTACCAAACCTCAACAAAGACCTGATGGACATGCCAACAAATAAAACAGGTTAGGCTTAACGCTTAGTGAATTCAAACAATGTTCATCATAATCATAAAAAAGGTAAAATTGAAAGACTGTTGATTTAAATTATAATTTCGCAAATGAAATTTCATTATCGTAAAAGTTTCGAAACCCACCATTTTCTTCATGAAAACTTATTAATCAAAATATACGCAACCAAAACTCAATACGCACGCAACCAAGAATAAAGCTAAAAAAAAGTAAAACGGAAAACATAACTTAAATCAAGTCTTTTTTACACAATTAACTCATGCTTACCCCTGGGAGGGTATAAAACATCTGAAGATGACGAAGAGACCCGATTTATCATTCGTTGTAGGAACACATAAATAAGCCACAAGCTAATGTTATTAGCTGCATCACTTTCATTTAGTCAATTGTGATCGAAAGCTCGTTCACTAGGAAATTACTTAATAATCACAATACCTATTTTCAAGCTACAATAAGAGATGAATTGGAAATTACATAATAATCTCAATGTCTATTTCCAACAAAAATAAAAGGAAACTCACGTTAGACTCGTTCACTTGGAAATTACATAATAATCACAATACATATTTCCAAATTACAACTTGAGAATCTCCTCCTTTACGTATTCCATAAAACCGACTTCTATGCTTATGGATCAATTGCATTCTAGCCATAAAATTACACAACTCCAACTGAATAACTAACGTACTCAAAGCATGTAATATATTATATAATTATGCCATACTTGCATATAATTCCAAAAGCTTGACATAGAGCAATTCAAAACCGGACAAATGTCCCCAAGACCCATTAAAGTCAAAACCGAACCAAAAGCTCAACAACCCAATTGATTATTTCATAGAAGTCGTCAAAAGCAGTAAAACGTATTTAACCCATGTTTATGCCAAAAGAAAAGTTCTAAAGACACGATTAACTCAAAAACACGTTATCAATTGAAACAAATCATTTTTCCAATTAAAATCATACCAATTATATTTCCAAAACATCATATAACACAACATTATGCATTTTCCAAAACCAAATACATTAAAATGCATTTATCACCAAATACTATCCATTTATACAATAAGTCATTAAAGAACCTACATTTGTGATTTATTTACCCAAACATAAGTATTTTACAAGATTTATTAACCCAATTTACCAAATATGCAAACTTAGTCAAATACTCAAACATTTGGTAAACATCAAGTAAAACACTTTAATACTTCAAAATACTCATTTTGGTATGTACATAGTTTTCACATATCAACGTGAACTCACCTTATTACTAGATTTAGACTAAATCTAGGTTTTATCCCAAACTTGAGCTTACTTTAGTAAAGAGCTTAGATCTCCAAGCTAGAACTTTAGATCCGACATTTCCAAGAACTCAAACTACTTCTTTAAACTCCCCAAACCCTATAAAATCACCACAAAGTGGTGAAATGAGTTGAAGACGCAAAACGGCCAAACCTTAGGTTAAGAGATAAAGATGTGATCTTACCTTCAACTTCTATGAATCCCAAAATCATCAAAGAATCTTTAACAACCACTGTTCCCATATTGAAGAGCTCAAAAAAACAAAACCATAGCAAAAAGAATCGTCCAAAATAGAGTTGAAATGAGGGAGATAGAGCAAAATGAAGAAAACCCCCGAAAATCCTTTTAAGCCGTCCAGGTGACTAATGCAACTTTGATCCAGGTTTACCCACTTCAAAGTCACCCGGATGGTTTTTGAACATGTCATAAACAGTGCCAAATACGACCTTAATGCGGGTTTAACCGCATGAAACCGCATTTCACTCTGTTACTCATCCTAAAACTCATTTTCTTGAGTTTAAAGCATCACTAAATATCCCATGCGTAAATTGCTCCCGGATAAACGAATATAATACTTTAGGAAAGAAAATACAGATAAATTCTAACATTATCAAGATAACTAAATTTCAAGTGTTACAGGCTGCAGTCCCTTCAACCTTCCATTAGTCAATCGGACTTTTTCACGATACCCTACCAATTATAATTAACTGGTACATGACTACTTGGTATTCAAGGAAAAAATAGTACTATACTAATTCAATCCCTAATTTAAAGTAGCGTTTCAATATGCTCTGTGGATGTGTTCCACTTTTTTAAAGTTATATTTCTTATATTTTATAAATAATGATCAAAACGTTTTTAATTCATATTATATTGTCATCTAGTTTATCAATTATTTTTAACCAAACATGACCAGTTTCACTATCAAATAGGTCCACATTTCCGGCGGCTCTATCCGTCGGCAAAAACATTTCCGATGGATAGAGTGGCCGGAAAAAGAGGCACCGGTGAATAATTTTCCGGTGGATTTTTTTTTCCGGCGGAATACGACCGCCAGAAATTTTCCCTTGGTTTGTTTAAAAAATATTGATTAAATTAAGAAAATATTTTTATTTTTTAAAAAAAATTTGAATTAAATTATCGGCGAAAATTTCCGCCAGAAATTCGCCGGTAAATTTGTCCGCCGGAAAATTGATTTTATTTGGTAAACAACGACTTAGGGGTTGTTTGTTTTCCTCTTAATAGTTCCATTAAGAGGCAACAACTGAATTATTAAGAGGTGAAATCTTATTTGACAAAAAAAAAAATCTGTCTCTTAATGGTTCTAAAAACCTCTGAATGATTTTGTATCCTGAGCATCCCTTAACCATTAAATGTCCTGATTTCATTGTAAACAATTACCAAACAATTTTATTTCATTTTCTACTATATCATAAAAGCCTCTTAATCATTTTGATCACTTAATCATTATGCACCAAATTATTCAGCAACTGTCAAACAATCCCTTAATCATTTTAAATAATGGTTTGCAAAGAAATTAATAAATTCTAATATCTAAGTGCATAATTGAAAAATAAAATAATACCCCAAGCTTATTAAAAAGCAACTTGAAAAAAAAAACTAATATAATTATAAATTTTGATAAATAAAGAAAAAATATCTCATAATTAAATTGTCAAATTCAAACTGGGGTCTATTTTGATTTACTTAATTATTTAATTAAATATAATGATGATGAGTTAGGGGTCAATATTGTTTGGTAGGAAAAAATGTGTTTTTTCTTGGTAATACGAACTCCCATCCATCAATTCCGAATTATTTGTCGGTAGGGCGGTTGGAACTTCATGGAAGCAAACTACTCGTAAATTCTCATTTTTAATTAAATTTGGCTCCTGAAAATTAATAATCATTTTCTTTTTTACGGAATAAATTGCGTTTGATTGTATCAAATATCAAACAAACAACTTGTCATTCTCAGTTCTATACTAAATATAGCTCCCTCGAATAATCCGATTTTTCTGTCCTCTTGTTTTGTTCAGTTATATCTGATTCGATCTAATATAATCTGTATATCAAATCTTAAAAGGACATAACATAACATCATTTTGGTGTATGTTAAATTGAAGGTTTCATTATAGGATGTATGACAATATGGTAATTTGCATGAAGGTGTAAGTTACTTTTTTCTTATTTAATGAGATGTTATAATTTAATACTTTCATGTTTGATGGATCTTGATTAAGTCATCATATTTCAAGATTCTTGATTAGTCCATGGTTTTGGCCGTTTTAATGTTATCATTGATTTTCTAGTTTTTGGGCTATGTTTGTTTATAGACGAAGAATCATGGAAAATCAACCTGAACACTTGTATGATTCGTTGTTACATCTCCACATGATGTTTCAGAAAATGATAATTAATGAAAACAATCTCGCAAAAAATTAATTGAAATTATTGTGTTTAGTGAAGACCGTTGTGTTCATCAGTGAACATAGATGTCATATGAATTATGTGTTCGTAGGGGAACATCTTCATTGATATTGTTCATGAGTAAAACTCATTTATTTACCAGTGAATGAAAACCATATTAATGAAGGTGTTCACAAATGAAGTTATAGTAGTGAATCATTTCATTTAAGATAGTAGTCATATATATTTAATAGTTGTATTTCTTAGATTTTTGGTTACAAAACCCAAATGAGAAATTATTGGGTTATTTGGGTTTAATAGATGATATCTCATTTTTTTCAATAATATCCTTGTTCACTTACGTTCACACCGGCATATAACGCATATGTTTCCATCTTATTATAAGAATGTCATTGTTGATTTTGAATTGTTGATCTTATAAATCAAATGATAGAATTGGTTCACAAAGCTAACACAAATTATTGAGTTAACTAAAGAACCAACCCCTATATATATATATATATATATATATATATATGTATGTATATATATATATATATAGAGAGAGAGAGAGAGAGAGAGAGGATGTTTCAAATGTAACTCATCGCATTTGTACAACCAATGCAACCAATTAATTGAGATATTTATGAAAATGATAAGAGTTCATTTATTATGATTTAAATATTTATGGAAGATGAATAAAGTTCATTAATTATGATCAATACTTTATATTATGAAACCATCAAAACTTTTATGAAATTACATATTCATCAAATTAAATGGACGATTGAGATTAGATTGTATTGGTTGTACAAATGTAAAATGTTGTATAATAACTCACCTCTACATATACATACATATATGTATATGTATATATATACATGTATGTATGTATGTATTACCCAAAGAGTAACTAGGACCAATTTAATTAGTCTATGTTTTCATGTTCAAATTGAATATTTTCCGATTTTGATCATTTTGAAAGGAGAAGATAGCAGATCCAATGACGATCTTATAATAAGAACAAAAAAAAAAATTCTCGATCAATCCTCTTGGCCCTCATTTTTCGAGAATAAGAAAAATGTTTTTCAAGTTTGAATTTGTTCTTTTAGAATCTGAGTTCTCCTACGTCATTTTCATTTACCTACTTTATTAATTTTTATCGTTAGGTTTAAACGGAAAACTGTTAACATGTCATGAGAAATCATGATCACTTGAATAACCTCAATGAATTAATTATATGTGTGTGGACACCGAAAACCAAATGAGTTTGGGGTTTGTTATATTGCAATTCTTTATATAATGATTTGGAAAATCGAATAATTGATACAAGACGCTCATCAGCGATATATATATATATATATATATATATATATACATGCAACCAAAAAAAAGCAAGTTATAGACCATGAAAATGTGACATTAATTGTAGAGATTTTGTTGTTTAATTAATTATAGAATGACAAATTAATATAAAACAAACTAATAATGTCTCATTTGACTTTGTAGTTTGACGTTATCTTGAAGCAATGACCAAAATGATTCTAAAACACATCCGGATTTGTACCTCCGCAAAATGTTAAATATTTCAACTAATCGTCCAATTTAAGTGTCATAAGTTCCATTTTAAATGGGATTATTTAAACCCAAACAAACATTTCCATCCTAATTACTTATTTGCAAATCCAATATTGCATATATATTAACATATATACCCTCAATATTATATATACAAAGTGTGTACGTCAGGTTCATACGAGAATTGTAATTAAATAAGAGAATAAAAAGTAATCGAATCACATGTGATTTTATACTAAAACCATGTGTGAAATCACATTTGATTAACGCGAGGTCACGAGTCTCGTCGTCCGCATACCTTCACATTGACCGTTAATGTAAAATAATGTGTGATTTTAGACGTCATTTAGTCGTTTTCGTGATCTTTTTATTTAGTTATATATTGTTTTCATTTCAACTTACTTCTCTCTCTCTCTCTATATATATATATATATGTATATATATATATATATATATACTAGAAGGGTACTCGTACAATGCAGCGAGATACATCTTGATTTTAATGTTTTCATTTTTTTTTTCAGTCGATGTTATAATACGGTTTTATGTGGTTTTGAGAAAACGATAATTTTTTAAGTTTTGAAAAAAATATAAATACGAAAATATCATAAAAAATGAAAAAAAATATTGATATTAGTACGAAACTAACTATTTAAAATTTCTTCCTTTTTATGTATTTCTTTATATTATTTTTTTTTAATTTTTGGTTTAATAATATTATTCTTTTATAAAGATAATAATTAAATATTTTGTTAGAACTCAATGATTATCCTAATTATATTTTAGATTTTTTATATTTAAAATGAGATGTTTATTCTCTATTTGATTATGTTTTTGCAGTTAGTTACACGAATTCAAACATAAAGCTTTAATAAATTGTACATATACAAAATTTACTTTTAATCTTGAATTTTAAGTAATATACATTAATAAACGATATTTCATGTACAAAAAATGATTTTTAAGAATTTTTATCAAATGTTTTATAATATAGTGTATATATATATATATATATATATATATATATATA